GAGAATCAGCCTGACTTGTTCTGTAAATCTGATCCCACTGGGCCCTCAGACAAAAGCAGCGTGTGGCCACCCCAAGTTACACTCGTCTACTGGGGACTCACCAGAGTAAAGGAATTCATGGCCACCCCCAGTCATACGTGCTGGGTCTATCTGGACTCACCACCTGATTGATTCTACTACAAACAATGATGTGTCACTTGCTAAAGCAGTGGTTCTCCAACTTGGCTGCACACTGATCATTTTCAAAAGCTTTAGGAAGCGTGGATGCTCAGACCCACCCCAGAGATGCACTGGGCTGGCCTTGGTCAGCTCCCAGGTGACAGTGATGTGCGGTGTGAGAACCAGGGCAGACAGACCTCTGCCAGGCAGCACACACTCAGCTCCTGCTCATCGCCAGGAAAAGTTCCACTGTGTCCTCAGCCCCTCCAGCCCCAAGCCCCACCCTCCCACCATCGACCCTACGCTCCCTTCTCATACATTTTGTGAACAAGCATTCACCAAGAGCCCTCCATCTGCCAAAGCAGCACAGGTGAGGGAACTGCAAGGCCATGGGTCTGTCGTCCCCCTGGAAAGGGCCCATACCCAGACTGGTGAAGAGGCCAGGGGAAGCTCAGACCCCAGGTGCCATGTTGGGAAGAGCACCTTCACCACAAATGGGGAGTGGGGGGCAGGAGGTGCTGTTTGTTCCCCACACTCACCCAAGAGAACCCACCCACCCAGAGGTGCTGCTGGGAAGGAAGCCTGAGGTCGTGGCAGCAGCCTGGGACAAGTCTGCACAACCCCCACACCTGTGCGGAAGCCTGCAGCCCTTCCACAGCCAGGAGAGGCCGACTCCCCCACCCCCAGAAGAGCCCCCAGCCCAGCCCAAACCCTGCCTTTCCTTAGCATCCCTCAGAACTTCCACGGAATGGATTGAGAGAGCTGGCGGACGGCCTCAGGAGCCTGGGCACCTGTCCATCCGTATACTACCCTTCCCGCTCCCCAACACCATGTACCCACAGAGGTGGGTCGGCAGCAGAGGAACCAGGAGCCCACTGTGCACTGCTGATCTCAGAAGCAGCAGCAAGGCCACCCCCTTCCCCTTCTCCTCTACCGCAAGAGAATCGCCATGAAAAATTCGGCAACTAAGCAGTCTAAAGGAGGGGCTCTGAGCCTCGTCCTGACTGGTGCAGGCAGTTTCTTAGGGTCACTCTCCCCACTGAGTCTGGCTGTGCCCTCCCAGGCGGCACCCCCTCAGCAGAGGTGCTCAGGCCATTCACGGCCGAGGTCTGCAGTTAGCTCCTGGCTTTCTCTCCCTTATCAAGCTCACTGGGGGCCACACACAACCCCAACCCCACCCGCTTTTCTTGCTTTGCCACTCCCTGCTCAAACTGGGCTCCAGGCAAGCCTGCAGTCCCTCAGCAGGGCCCTCCCCCAGCCCAGGTCCCTAACCCTTAGGGCCAAGGCCCCTCCCAGCAGGAAGCACAGCCTGGCGGTGCCAGGCCAAGTCAAACTGGCCCAGCTTGTTGGGAAGCCCCTAACCAGAAGCTAGGATCCTGTGCTCAGCACTGGGAGCTCAAACCTTTTCAGACTCCATACCACTTGGGTCCTCGAAGGCCCTGGAGTCAAAAGCATTTACCCTCCAGCCCCAGCCAGACCAGTTGCATACCTGCAGCCCCAGCAAGTTATGTAAGAGAACACTATATTGCCCGCTGACCCAGAAGGATTCTAAGAAAAGGCAGGAGTGCCTCTACTCCTGCATTAAAGCCCACCGTTTGGTGGCAAAGCCGTGAGCACCAGAGGGCAGGGGGTGCTCAGAGACCATCAGGATTCAGTCCAGCCACATGGGCTGGCCACTCCATTTGTTCTCAGAAAGTCTTGCTGAATGAATTAAAGCGAGTGGAAGAGCCTCCCAGGTGCCTCCCTGCACTAGCTTTTCTTTGCAGCACCTGCGGGCCCCCACCGCTGGCACTGCTTTCCTGACTGTCTCCCTGGCCAAGCCCCACTGCCACTGCCTTTCTAAAACTGAATACACACCCCATCAAAACCCCTCTCCTTCAGCCAAACCGGACTCAGCATGGCATCCCTGGCTCTCCTCCAGCCCAGAGCAGACCCCTCCCTCGCCTGGCAGCCGCCATCCCTGTGGTGCCCTCTGCGCTCCAGCCCTTACCACCTTTATCACCCCATCTTACTAGTGGTTTGTTTGCTTGTCTCTTTTCCCCAGGCTGAGTTCTGGAGGGGAACAATAGTGAATGTAAACTCAAGTTCTGTTCCCATTTTAGGAACGAGGACACTTAGGCTTTGTCAGTCACTGTCCAAGGTCACACAGAGAGTAAAGGGAAGAGCCAGAGTTTCACTCCAGACTTTCTAAGTCCAGTTCTCACACTGCCCTCCAGGAGTCCCTCCTCAGCCAGGCTCCAAGAGCCAGGAGGGGCAGAACCTGAGGTGTGAAAAGCTGCCTCTCACGCAGCATGAGCAGGAAAAGCCCCCACCCTCTTAGTGGTCAGGTCCCGAGGGCAGTGGCCCGCAGCCCCACTGGGCAAGGCAAGCAAGTTACGGGGTGGGGCTGACTGCTCGAGGCCAACAGGCCAACCAAAAGGGCAGAGCCACAGGTCCCCTGGGTAAACTGAACTTTATTCCTTCCTCACTCCTCCTCCGACTCTCCAGAACTGTCCAGCCGGCCCTTCTCCAGGGGCTAGCTGCTGATTAAAAGGCACTGCCCCCACCTCCACACACCCCCAGATCTGACCCTGGCAGACAATAAGGACTCCGAGAAGGCAGCAGGCCTGTCAGCTCAATAATGCAAAACCCTGTTGCTCTGAGTCCACGACAGCTGACTTCAAGTGGATCAGAGGCTGTGCTTATTAACAAAATGAGAAATCTGATCTACGGGAAGAAAACACTACGTGAGGATTAATCCAGGACTGCAGCCTGTGGAGAAGGCTGGGCTGCTGGCCAAGACCAAGGACCGAGAATGGGAGTGTCGCCTACCTGTCCCCAGAGCAGGTACTGCGCAGCAGGACAGGACGCATCACCTCCGCCCCACCTGCACCTCCTCTTCTCCTTCAAGCAATTGCAGCGATCATTTCATTTTGCTTTAATTAAAGGCCTGGCTCCCTCAGGCTGCTTCTTCCTCTACACAGAGCCAGCAACCAGAGGGAGATTTTTCTTTTCAGGAATTGCTTGTAAAAGCTGAGTGACTAATCTACAAGTCCCAACAACTGAAAGGAAAACACTGCAGGGAGAAATTCTGGGCACACACCAACACTCTGAGTCAAATGGCCAGAGAAGCTAATCAAGAGGCGCTCAGCAACACCCCAAAGCGGACCTGCAGGAAGCCAGGGGCCAAAGAAAAGCAGACCAACCAGGGAGCCCCCTCCCAAGCCTTCTGAGTCTCCTGCTTGCCCATGGCACCTACAGATTTTCATAATAAACCCAATTCCACAGGACCAAAGGTTCACTCAAAGGCTGGGCAACCTATTCCCAAGCGAAAGGACTCAGTTCAACCCCCAAGAATCAGCCCCCCATTCAAAGAGCCCGCTAAACCAGCAATCTCACCACACAGCTTTGTCTCCAGAGGCCAGTGTGAGACCGGCCCATCTGCTTTCTTTCAGACCACTCCAGCAACCCTGCCCTGCTAGGCGTACACTCTCCTGGAGGCAGGACTACAGACTAACCGCATGGCCTGTGCTCCTGGAAATGTCTGCTGAAAGGCCCAAGAGTCCGAGGTTGGCTGATGGGAATGGAGGGGAAGAAGTAAAGCCAGGAGCCAAGAAGCAATGAATGTTAGCTCCGTAAAGGTCCTGAGTTTGGGTGACCCAACTCCATCCCTCCAGCCAGGGTTCCCAGAGAATAGCCCCAAGTTCAGTCTAGAAGCTCTGGAAGCCCCTCCACTACCTGCCAGCTCTCGCCTTCCCCCAGCGCACAGGCACAGCAATCCCCACATCAGTCAACAACCCACCGCCACAGGATTCCTCTGGGTAAGGCTTTGCCCCTCCCCCCGCCACATATGTCAGAGGGGTGGCCTCCCTGGGTTACACCCCTCATGCTGGGGGGTGGCGGGGAGCCTGGAACCTAGCTTTCCAGATGTACTTGGCAACTCCTACTAGAAAAGGCACTGGAGGTGGAGAGGAGAGAAGACATGGATAAATAAGTTCAAAACCGTTCCAACGCATCCGGATGGGCCCCGGGTTCCCTTCCCCAGGCAGTCCCACGCTGTTCTGGGTGGGGCCGCCGGGAGCGTTATCTGGCCGCGTTCTCTCCTCTCCACAGTCACTGCCCCCCAGGGAGAGGCATCCCCGCCTCTCACACCCCCCGTCCACGAGTGAGGCCTGTGTGACTACGAACCATCTCGGGAGATAAACACAGAGTGACAAGCTGGGGCCCTTCGGCCCCCTCCCTCTGCCAGCCGACCCCCTCCCCCAAGCCCATCTCTCTTCCTGCCAAGCGGCTGCCTACAGCAGAGGTCTGGGGGCAGGGCGGCGAGACCACCAAGCCGCAGGGCCCGGCCCTCTGGGAGCGGCTCCTCCAGGCCCGACCCTGCCCCAGCCCAGGCTGGTCTCCCTGCGGGGAGGGGGCAAGGGACGGAGACCGCAGACGGTGCAGGGCCGCAGTTCTGGAAACAGCAAAATTCCCCTGTGAGGGGCAGCCAGGAGCAGGGCCGTTTGCATAATGGGCGCCCGCCCGCCTGTCAGGCAGAGCAGCTCGCCCGACGCTGTTCGGATTAGATTGCTAATGAAAAGGCACAAAGAGCCGGCGCCCGCTCGCCCGCCGACCCCCGCTCCGCAGACCCGCGCCCCGGCCTGGCGCGGCCTCGGGGGCTTTGTGCCCGGAGTCCCCCTCAGCCCGCGCCCGGCCGGGCACCTGGGCCACAAAGCCCGGGCGGACTGGGTCGGGCCGGGGGTCCCGCGTGCGCCCCCACCCGGGCCCTGCGGGCGCGCGCCCGTCCACGCCCCTTTCCCCGGGAGGCGCGCCCGCCCACGGCCCCCGCCCGCGCCCCGTTGCCCCCGACCGCCCCTCACCTCATGTGTGTCGGAGGCGGCGCTCCGCCGGCCGGCCGGCCCCACCGGCGGCCCCTTGTCCTCGGCGCCCGGCCCCCGCCGCCCGCGCCCGTCCG